GCGATAATAATGTGAAGTCGTGGTCGACAGACTTAATAACTATATATATATCACAAATTAGTTAATTATTATTATTATTGTAACATGATAATTGAATTCACATAATTGCTTAGCAAAACCCAGCGCCACTTTTAGAGTTATGGGAACCACAGATGAAGTGAAACACTTAGAAGATAAAAATGAGTTTATTCTTTAATTACGATTCTTTGACAATATATGAGTATAGACTCTCCTTCTGGAGAGAGAGAGAGAGAGAGAGAGAGAGAGAGAGAGAGAGAGAGAGAGAGAGAGAGAGAGAGAGAGAGAGAGAGAGAGAGAGAGAGAGAGACGGACAGAAGTAACACAGTGGAAAAGAGATAAGATAGAAAGCGGGAGAAAATAAAAAAAAAAAAACAATTAAACGAAATAAAACTATGCCAAAACAAAAAAGATAAAAAAAGTGTCAATAAAAAGAAGAATTAGGCAGAAAAGGAGGATAAAATCAAATCTAAATTTTTTTACTAGCGCTGTGAGCTAGCAAGAAGACAATGAGAGACAAGGGCAGCTTAACAGTTTACGTAAACAACGCCCCAAGCTTGTTTAAACTAACAAGTTAAAATGTTTAAATAGTAGCTCAAGCTTATGTTTACACTTCCTCGGGTTCAACTGGTTTGCAGACTGTCTATAAAACACAGTAATAAGGTTTATTCTTGTGTTTACCTTGCCCGAGAGCGAGAAAACCCGAGCCATGCGTCAGAGATGCTAGTTGAGTCATGCGTCAGAGATGCTAGTTGAGTCATGCGTCAGAGATGCTAGTTGAGTCATGCGTCAGAGATGCTAGTTGAGTCATGCGTCAGAGATGCTAGTTGAGTCATGCGTCAGAGATGCTAGTTGAGTCATGCGTCAGAGATGCTAGTTGAGTCATGCGTCAGAGATGCTAGTTGAGTCATGCGTCAGAGATGCTAGTCGAGTCATGCGTCAGAGATGCTAGTCGAGTCATGCGTCAGAGATGCTAGTCGAGTCATGCGTCAGAGATGCTAGCCGAGTCATGCGTCAAGCATTCGTGTGTCAGAATTGCTAGTAGAGAAATACCTAACACATGCAAATCGAGTCAGTCACCCAAACATACAAGCAGAGCTGTGCGTCCCGAAAACAGAGAACCAGAGGAATATCCGTTAAAATCTTTGGAGTGGAAACACTTAGAGAGAGAGAGAGAGAGGAGAGAGAGAGAGAGAGAGAGAGAGAGAGAGAGAGAGAGAGAGAGAGAGAGAGAGGGAGAGAGGGAGGGAGGGAGGGAAGGAGTGATAGGTTAACTTCTGTATCGCAGACCTTCTGCATAACTGTTATCTTTAAGCTATCGTATGAGTAGTATCGTTTGGGTATCGTACGAGTGCCAATAGAATTAATAACAAAATAAGTTTGCTGGAAGTACAAAGCCATTTTGTGCTCAGTGCCATTTACAATTTCACACATATTATTCACTAGATAAAAGTATCCGCAATCCTCAAAATAGATATAATTATCCTCCTCCCATCCCTGTATAACCCAAACATCCCATAAAAATAACTCAAACCCTCTATGAAAAAAAAAACCAACCCTCCTCCCACTCCCCCCAACCATCAGTAGAAATTCATTCACACAACACAAAAGAAAATCACGGAATACCCTCACAATAATTTAATGCATCCGACATCACTTACATCGGAGGCTAAAATCTGCTAAGGTACAGGTTGGTATCTAGGTGGTTATATGTATGTATGTATGTATGTATGTATGTATGTATGTATGTATGTATGTATGTATGTATGTATGCTTTCCCACCTGGACCTAAGCGTGGACAGACATAGGCACATATTGAGCTAAGGCCGACAAAACGTTCTGTAAATCTTGGTAGACAGTGACAGAGACAGTAACAGAGAGAGGGATACTAGCTATTCTTAGCCAGAAGAATCAAAAGCAGCCAGCTACAAAACAAGAAATTTCTGCCCAGGGTGTCAAGCAGACAGTGTGTTAATGTGTCGTCTGTAAGACTGCCAGCCAAGGCAGGAATGTCAATCAAAAGGGATATCAGCCAGGCGTATCCGGAGAGTAGGGTGTCAGCGGGGAGTGTGTGGCGGGGGACAGGCCGTCAGCAGCGTCTGGGAGTATGCAAAGTGAGTTTCATTTGGTAAATAAAAGTTGACGTATTCCATTTGGTTAATTGTATAGCTCAATATCCCTGGGGTCGGGGTGCCCGCAGGAGCGGTGTGACGAGATTAAGGGAGCCACGAGGCCAAGGGAATGACGAGGACACGGCACTGACAGAGCCACGGCACTGACAGAGCCCCGGCACTGACAGGGGCAACGGCGCTGACAGGGTCTATCATGATCATGTGAGGAATTACCAAGTAAACTTTTGCATTTTAATCTTCAGCTCTGGGTGATCTATATTAGTCATTGTCCTATGCTGTCATACTTGTTTGTTAAGTTCTGTACTGTCTTAGCAGCCACACTGTATCCGAGTTCGTTCCACAGTTCCACCCTAACACTGTGCAAGTGTTCCCCGCATCTCTTGTGGCTCTTCAGGATTTTCGGTTTCTATTCATAGCCCATTGACCCGATTCGCCACAATGTGACCATCCTTTTTTTTATTATTCTCCTTATTCCTTGAAATATCTTTTATTTAACTCTGACGTCCTTAGATCTAGCTCTTTCAGGTTCTTCTTAGTACTTTCCTCTTAGTACTTTCGGTCTAAGTCGGACCGCAACGTCGTCGTAAGTTTCATTCTCCCATGTGAGGGTTGTGTACTGTCTTCAGAAATGGTGTCGAGTCTTTGAACTTTATATTTTCTTCCTGTGTTTTCCAGGCACGGGTTCATCGCCCATCTTGCATATTAGGATGAGTCTTGTGTACATGGTGACTAGAACGGATGTTCAGTTTTCTAAAGGACGCTGTTATATTTGCTAGCCTGATAAGCTGGATAGGGTCGGTGTTATTCTAACTCAAAGTTCTTTCATTACAAGATTTTTTATGATGCCCATCGGTGTAATGTGTTCAGCTGTGCTGGCAGTCCCTCTTCCTCCTCCTCCTCTTCCTCCTCCTCCTCTTCCTCCTCCTCCTCCTCTTCTTGTTTCAATGTTCGTTGTTCTCTAAGGTTTCTCCTCGTTTCTGGAGCTGTTCCCTATTCTGTTGTGAAGATTCTCTGGAATCTGTGGTTGAATTCCTAATAGATTCTGCGCCGCTCTTCTCAGTTTTATTATTAAGTCGCTGAAGAAAAGGAGCGTTTGAGAACAAGCTTTTATTGATACAGTGTTTCGCCCTGTATACAGCTTTATCTTAATTTGATAATACTTTACATGGAGAAAAATTTTACCCCAATAAAAGCTTGTCATGCAGGTTGTCTTCTTTCACTGTTCTTGAAAGTACACCACTGGAAGGCTACATAGTCCTTGACTGCCATCTTCTTTATAATGTGGCTGAATAATAGTCTGTGTGTTATGTACATTTTCATCTTCGGTCTTTTGGAAAATAAACACATAAGCAGTATGTGATCCTTTATTAGCAACGTTTCGCCCACACAGTGGGCTTTAAAGTGTTTATTTTTCCATTGTGTCGGTATTTTATACCATTTATTTCCTTCGGTCTTTCTCAGAGAAAAGATAAACTGTGCAGAACTCAGAACCAAGCGATCACATGATACCTTAACAATTTTTAATTGCCGCACAGAGAAGAGGTACAGAGTAGAGGTAGTTTTGTTTCGAACCTCTTCTGTTTCCTTCCTGATCCTTTCTATCCTCGAGCCACTGTTCTGATGGCGTGGGTTGTCTTCTGGACTTTCTCTCCAAGGTCTTTTGGTTAATAGTTTCACATATTTGGACGATGGATGTAACAGCTGCCTTGTTTTCTTCTCTTTCTTCAGGTATGAATCCACTTTTCACTTCTGAACTGCATTTATCTGGCTTCTTGATTTTTATTAAATAAATCTTTGCAGTCTGTCACTCGCCATTTCGATGCGCCGGTCTCCTGGTATCTCCACCTCCCCTCACTCCTCTCCTCTTCTCTATACTTATTCTCTGTACTGTAATTAGAGGTTATACTATCATGTAATTGCTTGTTCCTGAGTTATGCAGAGTTTATTCTCTGCCCTTTTCATTTAGGAAAAAATAACGAAGTTGAAAAGTTACATAACACGAAGACTTAAAAGTCAACAAAGTTTTATGTAATAAAAATATTTCTTATTCAATGTAATACGATTTAAAAAAATTAAATGCTTGACATTAAATCTCCAAAAATTTCCCAGACGTCCCTGCAGGAATACTGGCGTCCATAAAAAAAAATCGCATTCGAAGTGGTTCCTGTAAGAGCTTAGGTCAGCTTCATCTCAAGAAAAGCTGCACAGGTATAACACTCGTCAAACATTACTGACCGAAAAATAGGTTATGTAGTACACAGTTTAAAAAGTATCACAAGAAAAGTGCCCAGTTTTATGGATTTTAATGAACTCTTTTTTTTATATTAAATATAAATAGTTTAATATATTTTGCAACCAACATCGAGGACTGTAATTGCACTACTCAAGGTCTTCGCATAACCAGCAGGTAGAGCACCTGTGAATTATTATTTCTAAAGTGCTTTCTTCAGTAAACACAACCTACAACCTCGTATTTAGTATCTCAGTGAATATTTACAATTGCAGAAGCAGTGTTCGTTATGTCTCGTCTTCATTATCACTAATTGAATTCGGACTCCCTTTTTTCCCTCTTTGTGTGTGTGTCTACGTACTCGCCTATTTGTCATTGCAGGGGGTCGATTCACAGCTCCTTGGATGTTTGTGTGTCAGTCTATGTCTCGTATAGTATATCGTTATAAATACCATGAACGCTGTCACTGTACATTGTCACTCATTTCTGCATGTTTGGCACTGCCCTTGTCACTATTTTTTTATGATTTTCTTTGTCACTTTCCTCGTACCTGCCATCATATCCTGACGTCCCTGGCAAAACAAAAGTAAATATTCACTACAAAATAGCAGAGTACTTACTTTGGCTGTATCTATGGCTAGCTGAAATGAAAAGTCTCTTAGACATCATGGGAATGGTATTTGGTACATCATGGGAATGGTATTTGGTACATCATGGGAAGGGTATTTGGTACATTATGGAAATGGTATTTGGTACATTATGGAAATGGTATTTGGTATATCATGGGAATGGTATTTGGTACATCATGGGAATGGTATTTGGTACATCATGAGAATGGTAACTGGTACATCGAAGAAGTGGCATTTGGTGCAAGCCATCATGGAAATGGTAGGGGGTGCAAGACATCATGGGAATGGTATGGTTGCAATATAAGGCTTAACGGGAGTGGTATGGAAACAGGGCAAATCAACGGAAGAGGTATGGGAGGACAGAACAAAAGAATGGGAATGGTATGGGAGCACAGCAATGCAATGGGGGTAGAAAGGATATAAAATGATCTCAGAATAAAGGGTAATGGGGGCATAACACATTGCAGTGTAATGGAACTTAAATCAAATAACGTATCATAAACGTCACGGAGAAGCACTAAAGCTGTAGGGGAGATGGAAGGGGGGTCATGCAGTACCTGGGGAACGGGATTTGAATCGTAGCATCAAGGCACGGTATATTGTACAAACCGAGGGACGTGAATATCTGTGTACACACACACACACACACAACGACTCGACCCTTGCAACCACATATAGGTGAGTACACACACACACACAACACACACACACACAAGTGTACATCTCAGGGCACATTGATCAATTAGCATACATAGGCGGAAATGTATATTACAATGTATATACACAATGTTCACTACAATCTATATTTTAGGATATAATGTGTACTTAATAGTTCATATATACGAGAGTTTCAGCCATCTTGCAATCGACAGGACAAAGAGTAAATAAGATTTACCAATACATAGCACACTGTTTAATGGTTTAGTTTCCTTGTTATTGAAGCGTTCTACAAGTCAGATCAATGAATCCTGATCAGTTCCTTCACCAGTATGTTTGGCATCCATTACCAGGGTCCCCACACCACTCTCCCCTCTTAACTCAAATGCCTTATCCCCTCACCGCAATACTCCTTCCCTTCCTAGCCCCAACCCGTCCCCTCGTCGCTTCTAACCCCTTACAACACCTCCCTCCCCCACCAGATATAATTGACCATAACGAAAATCATATGGCGGTAAATTGAGGAGTTTGGGAGAGTGGAGGAGGGAGGTGGTGACGGGAGGCACACGCCTCCATCCCTGTTAACTCCAGAAACACCTCCATTACTTGGCCCTCTACCACAGTGACTTAGAAGCTGACGGATGCTTGATGGCTTCACGTGTGGATGAAGGATGAATTTTAAACACCTGTGTGGTGTTGGCAGATTTTTGGATGAGCGATATCCTGAGCCGAGTGAAAATATTTATTACTACGTTTCGCCCATGACTGAGCTTTAATTAAGCATCAAGTATGACTAATATTTGACGAAGTCCAGCCAGAGACAAAACTTCACAATTAAAGATCGCTGCTTCTGAAGCAGCAGTGTAAAAAGCCACTGCAATCACTGCTGCAGTGATTGCAGTGACGGACAAGTTTTCACCGTCTTTTTAAGAGGCTTAACCAGGTTTCGTGGGATTTTAACGAATGTTTAGCGAGTGTTCGCGTGCGGTACCGAAAGCCAAAGTTGTTCATCACCTGAAGCGAAAACCTGGAGTCGTATAGCGCCTGGAAACAGAAATGAGAGGCAATCAGGCTTTACCCAAGGGAGGGCAGCTTTAATTAATGGGTCAAAAACCCTTATTTGGAGATAGGAAAAAAAATCGATGCATTATCTGGAATTTTTCAAGACGAACTTTAGGTTATATTAGGTAAATATTAAACAGATACTGGTGCTCTGGTGTGTATTGTGTGAACTATAAGGATTTAGCGCTTTTTTAATAATAAATAATAATAATAATAATAATAATAATTTGGCGTGAGGTGTCAGAATGTCTATAAACTCTTGTACGATGATTATTTTTTTTATCAGTTATTTACAAAATATTAGAGACGCTGGATTTCTCTTGCGTTTACCTACTTAAGGATTGTAATCTCTCAGCTCCTGCCAGATTTATTCTGGAAACAGTGGGTAGAGTTCGTGTCCAGCACATCCTGCTGCAGATCACGCTAATTCAAATTGAATCTCATTGACGTAATGCCGACAGTAGCAAGGAAAATATTTTGAAGACAATGTTTGGATGTGTGTAGATCAACACACATACACACACACACACACACACACACACACACACAACACACACACACACACACACACACACACACACACACACACACACACACACACACACGAATATTGTCCCGGTTATCGCTTGTTCTGCCAAGTATATTCATCATCATTCTAATTTAAATTCTCCACTCGACCTCTACTTCTGTTTGCAGGACACAAACATCATGGTACAGTGACAACCTTCCAGTCTGACCTACAATCTCCATCTCTTGACTCTTGTTTACTCTAATCAACTGCTCTTTTTGTGTGTTCCACTTCAACTACTTTTGCACACACTTCTAAATCCCTACACCAGCTTTTGCAACTTCTTCTCGGAATCTCTCCAAAAAAGACATTTAAGAGCCATGGCGACATGGATCAAGCCCCGCCTTTTCATTTGCTTCCCACATTAACTAAATTCACTCTTATCCTTAACCTTTGCAGCATTTTTTTAATGTGCCAGTTCATTTATTAGCAACTGCCCTACTGTGTGGCAGTGTTCTCCACTCTTATTAATACGCGTAAACACCTTCGTTGTCTCTATGTTAGAACTGTCACGTCTTTACATTATGTTCCTTCAGGGTAAGTTTAATCTTATCACAACGTGGAAACTGAAGCTTTGTATCATAAATTACGTGGAACACGTCGGCAAAATAAATGGTTTTAGCAACTTTATGTCTTAGTCTGGTGGTTCATGACACGGTCCTTCACTGCCACGGTGGACCATCATAGACACGGTTCTTCTCTGCCACGGTGGACCATCATAGACACGGTCCTTCACTTCCACGGTGGACCATCATAGACACGGTCCTTCTCTGCCACGGTGGACCAACATAGACACGGTCCTTCACTTCCACGGTGGACCATCATAGACACGGTCCTTCACTTCCACGGTGGACCATCATAGACACGGTCCTTCTCTGCCACGGTGGACCATCATAGACACGGTCCTTCACTTCCACGGTGACCATATAGACACGGTCCTTCACTTCCACGGTGGACCATCATAGACACGGTCCTTCTCTGCCACGGTGGACCATCATAGACACGGTCCTTCACTGCCACGGTGGACCAACATAGACACGGTCCTTCACTGCCACGGTGGACCAACATAGACACGGTCCTTCACTGCCACGGTGGACCAACATAGACACGGTCCTGCACTGCCACGGTGGACCAACAGACACGGTCCTTCACTGCCACGGTGGACCAACATAGACACGGTCCTTCACTGCCACGGTGGACCAACATAGACACGGTCCTTCACTGCCACGGTGGACCAACATAGACACGGTCCTTCACTGCCACGGTGGACCAACATAGACACGGTCCTTCACTGCCACGGTGGACCAACAGACACGGTCCTTCACTGCCACGGTGGACCAACATAGACACGGTCCTTCACTGCCACGGTGGACCAACATAGACACGGTCCTTCACTGCCACGGTGGACCAACATAGACACGGTCCTTCACTGCCACGGTGGACCAACATAGACACGGTCCTTCACTGCAACGGTGGACCAACATAGACACGGTCCTTCACTGCAACGGTGGACCAACATAGACACGGTCCTTCACTGCCACGGTGGACCAACATAGACACGGTCCTTCACTGCCACGGTGGACCAACATTGACACGGTCCTGCACTGCCACGGTAGACCAACATAGACACGGTCCTGCACTGCCACGGTGGACCAACATAGACACGGTCCTGCACTGCCACGGTGGACCAACATAGACACGGTCCTGCACTGCCACGGTGGACCAACATAGACACGGTCCTGCACTGCCACGGTGGACCAACATAGACACGGTCCTGCACTGCCACGGTGGACCAACATAGACACGGTCCTTCACTGCCACGTGGACCAACATAGACACGGTCCTTCACTGCCACGGTGGACCAACATAGACACGGTCCTTCACTGCACGGTGGACCAACATAGACACGGTCCTCACTGCCACGGTGGACCAACATAGACACGGTCCTGCACTGCCACGGTGGACCAACATAGACACGGTCCTTCACTGCCACGGTGGACCAACATAGACACGGTCCTTCACTGCCACGGTGGACCAACATAGACACGGTCCTGCACTGCCACGGTGGACCAACATAGACACGGTCCTGCACTGCCACGGTGGACCAACATAGACACGGTCCTTCACTGCCACGGTGGACCAACATAGACACGGTCCTGCACTGCCACGGTGGACCAACATAGACACGGTCCTTCACTGCCACGTGGACCAACATAGAACACGGTCCTTCACTGCCACGGTGGACCAACATAGACACGGTCCTTCACTGCCACGGTGGACCAACATAGACACGGTCCTTCACTGCCACGGTGGACCAACATAGACACGGTCCTTCACTGCCACGGTGGACCAACATAGACACGGTCCTTCACTGCCACGGTGGACCAACATAGACACGGTCCTGCACTGCCACGTCATGATGCTGGTTAAGATAGCAGGAGTCAGTGAAGAACAAATACCTCATCCCTTCCCTTTCTAGGATCAAATATGATTATCTCACATTCTCCAGGCGCTATGTGATCCTTATGAACTTACTTTTCTCAATAATATAATAATAATAATATAATAATAATAATAATAATAACAACAATAATAATAATATCGATGACGCGTGGAACATTCAGTTTGTTTGGTTCCATTTTTGAATATCTTGAAATAGTTATTTTAAAACAGGGTTTCAGAACCTATTACAAACACCGTCATTCACATTAATTAACTTTTATGT